GGAAGACTTCCCCCCTGGAGAGGGGTTTATCAGAAGATAGGGTGTGGCTCGGGGGCTCTTTGGAGAGCACTCACCACTGACATCCTCCGGAGCGCCATCATCCAAGGAGTCTGCTTCAGCCAGACTCGAAAAGCAGAATGCTCCCTTCTAAAATGAACCCAGCTTACTGAAGTTCAGGCCAAATGTTCTCATGGAATCTTTAAAATAAGTTGCCGTCCAGCTGACTCCGACTCATAGCGACCCCACCACGTGCGTCCGAGTTGTGCCCTGCGGGGTTTCCAGTGCTTTCTCACAGACCTCAGCTTCTGCCGAGTGTTACTCTAAAACAAAAGCAGACAAAGCTGTCTGAACCGTTAGAAAGGTGCTAGAAGGAACGGCTTTACTTCAGGTTTTACAAACCTGCACTGCGGTTTTGTTTCCGTGTGACTCCAGGAGCCCCGAGTGCGGCTGTTACAGCACGAAGTGCCCGAAAGCAGAGGCGGACTTGTGTGTCTTTCCTTTAGCTGAGGTGACCGGGCCTACAGACCATGTCTTAGTTCGAGAACTTTCCCATTTCCTCTTAGGGACAGGAAACTAATATATCTACGAACGTTTTGCGTTCAGTAAAAACAGCATGCTCCAGCTTGTCAGAGGCGCCCCCTTGGTCTGCTCAGGATTCAGAACTGCTCCCTGACCTGCTGGGTCCGTTGCAGGGAGGCATCTCAGCCTGGCCACTGCTTTTTGTGGACAAGAGGCCCCCACCTTTCCCACCTGCAGAGTGGAAGTCACACTCCCATCCTTCTAGGGTCCTTGAGGTGTCCTTTATACCTAGCAATCTGTCATCGGCTCCTGCACTGGTGACCCCACGATCTTGCCCCCCACCCCCCGCTTGTTCAGAGGCGTCCTCTTGGGCCACACATGCCCAGGAGCACACCGTGGGGCAGGGGGAGTCTTGGTTCTCAATAACAATCGCAAAATCTCATTTTAACCTTTCTGTTTTATATGACTCAAGTGATAGGCGTTAACTTTTAAGTCTCACGACTCTTCCACAATCATTTCCCGGCCGCCAGGAAGTATAATTTTCCCCTCTCCGTCTCGGCAGGAGCTGGTGGTAGCACTGAGTCACCTCGTGGTTCAGTATGAAAGCAATTTCTGCACAGTCGCCTTGCAGTTCATGGAGGAGGAAAAGAACTACCCCCTGCCGTCCCCAGCGGCCACAGGTACGGAGCCTGGTTCTAGGGAGCCTTGGAAGTCTAGCCTGTGTGATCCCACGTAGAAGAAGTAGCTAGAATTGACAGCTGCATAGAGTCCAGTCATGGTTGCCAGGGGCAGGAGGGAGGGTGAGGGGGGTCACTGCCTAGGAGACGCACTTCTGTTAAAGGCAGAAACAACCCGCGCGTCCGTCAGCAGACGAATGGGTAAACACAGTGTGGTCCGTCCATACAGCGGAGAAGGTTTCAGCCATGACCAGAAGTGAGGGGATGTGCCTTGGAGGTGTGATGCTGAGTGTGAGAAACCGCTCGCGGGACGGATCCTGCGTGATCCCACTGACAGGAAATGTCCAGAATAGGCAACTGCACGAAGCAAAAGTTTTTTAGTGGTTACAAGGGGTGGGAGGAGGGGGAAGGCGAGTCATTGCTTGGGGGGCCCTGAGCTTCCGTCCAGGGCGATGGAAAACCGTGGAAACAGCGGTGATAGTCGCACTACATGGTGAACGTAGTCAACGTCGCGGAATTCGACACGTAAAAAAGGTGGAAACCGCAAATGTTTGTTACATATTTTTACCACAATGAATTTAAAGAAAGAAAATCGAGCCTGGCCAGCTCTAACTCCAGGGGAAGCTGTGGGACCCCACCCCAGGGCCTCAGTGGTCACTAATGTCACCAAGCCCTGGGCGGCAGCCAGCACCCCGCTTTGTAAAGGACAGGGCAAAGGGTACACCAGCCCCTTCTTTTTCCTTCGTTTTTACCCTTCGTGGGCATCAAATCAGTGGAATCTGGAAGGGTGGCCGGACTTCTGCACCAGGGCCTGCAGGAAGGAGTGTTAATAAGGCCCGTCCGCGATGACCACGGGGTCCCGGTCTGCCGGGCGCAGTGAGCCACGCTGGGAAGTCCCTGCCTCACGTTGGTCCCTTCTGCCGGGAACACAGTCACCTTCATGGTGATGTTTCAACAGGGCGGGCCCCCTCCCCCCCCGGGACACAGTGTCTGCACAGCAGAGAGGGCCGTGACCAGTGATGAGATATCTCAGTAAATAAACCAACAGGAAAATAGTTGTCACTGAGCTGACTCCAACTCATGGCGACCCCATGTGTGTCAGAGTAGAACTGTGCTCCATAGGGTCTTCAGTGGCTGATTTTTTGGAAGTAGATTGCCAGGCCTTTCTTCTGAGATGCTTCTGGGTGGACTCGAACCTCCAACTTTTGGTTAGCAGCTGAGTGCATTAACAGTTTGCCCCAGGGACAAGAAATGCAGGATGAGCTTGCATCCTGCTGCCAGCCCCCCGGGCCCCTCCACCCGCCCCCCACAGTGCCCCTGGAGAGGCCTGTCACTAGCCCTGCTCCATTTTGTAATTGAACACTCGCAGAAACTGCAGACGTGGGTTAGGGTCGTCTGCTCCTTGTCCAGCTTTGTCTGCCAACCCCTACAAGTGTGCGCTCTCCTGAGCTGAGCGCCCCACCCCTCCTCGGTCACTCCTGACCTGGGGACAGCTCCCGTCACTCATGGCAGCTGCAGCCACCAGGAGGCATGCTGGCCTCCCACCCTACAGCCCATCGTTAGCTGCCCACTTCTTCCTTCTTTCCCACCAGAAGGGGGCAGCTTGACCCCCGTGCGGGACAGCCCGTGCACCCCCAGACTCCGCTCCGTGAGCTCCTACGGAAACATCCGCGCCGTCACCACTGCCCGGAGCTTGAACAAGTCTCTGCAGAACTTGAGCCTGACCGAGGAATGTAAGACCCTGGGGACCGGACACTCTGGTCGGGAGGCGCCGGGTTTTCTCCTGGACTGCGGCGTCCCGCCCCCGCCCCCTTCTCTGCCATCGGGCGTGCCCTGAAATCCAGCCCGCCGACACGGGGACCGGCCCGCTGTTCTCACGCCTGGAGTCCTCCTCCCAGACGCGGGCGAACCAGAGGGGCTGTAGTTCAGCACCAGAACGGCAGTGGTTGCCTTACACACTCGCAGAAGTGAGCACAGTCCCAGCTGGAGGGCCGTCTGCTCCTCTGACAACCCCGTCCCGCCCTCCTGGGACCCGCTGTCTATGCACGTTGCGTGTGTGTGTATGGCTGCGTGTGAGGGTGTGCGTGTGTATGGGTGTGAGTGAACGTGCATGTATGTATGCAGGAGTGTGTATGAGTGTGTATGGGTGTGTGTGGGAAGGGTGTGCATGAGTGTGAGGGTGTGTGTGTGCATGAGTGTGGGTGTGTGTGCATGCATGAGTGTGGGTGGGTGTGCATGAGTGTGAGGGGGTGTGAGCATGAGTGTGTGGGGTGTGTGCATGAGTGTGAGGGTGTGTGCATGTGAGGGGGTGTGTGCATGAGTGTGTGCATGTGTGTGAGGGGTGTGTGCATGAGTGCATGTATAGATGTGTGTGCATGAGTGCATGTATAGATGTGTGTGCATGAGTGTGGGTATGAGTGTGTGAATTTGTGCGTGTGTGCGTGTGTGTGAATTTGTGCAGGTGCGCATGAGTGTGAATTTGCAGGTGTGCGGGTGTGAATTTGTGCGGGTGTGCGTGTGTTTGAATTTGCGGGTGTGCGTGTGTACATGTGCATTAGTGTGGGTATGAGCAAGTGTGCATGTATGTGTGAATTTGTGTGGGTGTGCATGTGTGTACGTGTGCATGAGTGTGGGTATGAGTAAGTGTGCGTGTGTGTGAACTTGTGCGTGTGTGAATTTTGCAGGTGTGCGTGTGAATTTGCGTTTGCGCGTGGGTGTGAATTTGTGCGTGTGCGTGCGTGTGTGAATTTGTGCGGGTGTGCATGCGTGTGTGAATTTGTGCGGGTGTACGTGTGTGTGAATTTGTGCGGGTGTGTGGGTGTGTACGTGTGCATGAGTGTGGGTATGAGCAAGGTGCATGTATGAATTTGTGCGGGCGTGTGTGTGTGAATTTGTGCGGGTGTGCATGTCTGTACGTGTGCATGAGTGGGTATGAGCGAGTGTGCATGAGTGTGTGAATTTGTGCAGGTGTGCGTGTGTGTACGTGTGCATGAGTGTGGGTATGAGCAAAGTGCATGTATGTGTGAATTTGTGCGGGCGGGCGTGTGAATTTGTGCATGTGTGTGTGTGTGTGTGTGAATTTGTGCGTGTGAATTTTCGGGTGTGCGTGTGTGAATTTGTGCGGTTGTGCGTGTGTACGTGTGCATGAGTGTGTGAATTTGTGCGTGTGAATTTGTGCGGGTGTGCATATGTGTGAATTTGTGCGGGTGTGCGGGTGTGTACGTGTGCATGTGTGTGAATTTGTGCGGGTGTGTGTGTAAATTTGTGTGGGTGTGTATGTGTGCATGTGTGTGAATTTGTGCGGGTGTGCGTGTGTAAATTTGCGTGTGTGTGCGTGTGTGTGAATTTGTGCGGGTGTGTACCTGTGCACGTGCGTCTGCGTGTCTGTTTACTTTCTGGAAGAAGACGCACGTTTTCGCGGTAGGCCGTTCGCTGTAGCGCCCAGGGGCCGTCTCCGGCCCTGACGTCCGGTGGTGTCTCCACAGCCAGCAGCTCAGTGGTGTTCTCGCCCGGGAACCTAAGCACCAGCAGCAGCGCCAGCAGCACCCTGGGCAGCCCCGAGAGCGAGGAGTACATCCTGTCCTTCGAGACCATCGACAAGATGCGGCGCGTCAGCTCCTACTCCTCCCTCAACTCGCTCATAGGTGAGTCCCAGGGGTCGCCGCAGTGCCGCGGGGCCCCCTCCAGCCCACGAGATGGCACGGGCCCAGGTGGTGGGCAGGTACCGGGAGCCGTAACCTCTCACTTGGGAAAGAAGGAGTGAAGTCAGCTGGAGGCACCTGAGGAGGGAGGAGTGCCTCGCCGTGGAAGGCGCGGAAGTTTCTGTCACCTGTGTACAGGTGTAGTGTGTGCAGGGGGCCGCAGGGACGCTGGGCTGGTTAGGCCACCAAGCCTCCGTCAGTCCTTCTGCTGGACAGATGGCGTTCTTGGTGTGCCTGAACTCCCGGCAGGTACAACAGCCAGAGTGGTTCTGCCCCCAGGAGACGTTCAGCAATGTCCAGAGAGATTTTTGGTTGTCACAGTGAGGGGGTTATGGTTACTGGCATCGAACAGGTGGGGACCAGAGATGCTGCTCATCCTACAGCGCACAGGCCGGCTCCCACCATAGAGAAGGATCCGGCCCCACACGCTGACAGTGTGAGAAACGCTTGCGTGCTTTCATACGACCCGCAGCCTCCTGAGACTCACTTCTTTGTCCATTTTATGTTCGTCTTCACCCACGGGGCCGTGGGGGTTCCGTTCAGTCACTTTCACGCCTGAGGGGTGACGTGTCGTTTGACTTGGCTGCAGTCTCACCATCCGTTCTCCCTCCATAGGCAGTCAAGCCATTTCCCTCTTTTCTTTTTCTTCTATTTCTTGCTTGTTCTCCAGACGTGCTTGGCCCCACCCCTCTGCGTTCCATCTCAGACCTCACCCCCTCGCTGCCTGCACCCCAGCTCTGCGGGCTCCTTGGCCCCGGCAGTGCGCCCCTCAGTGCCGGCACCGCCGCCCGCTCTACCTGGAGAGCCTTCTCTCAGACTTTTCACGGCCTCCCCCTCGGAATTCAGGGTTCAGTGTTACAGAGAAGCCTTCCCGGCCCCGATCTAGAGCAGTTCCTCCAGGCGTTCCCTGGCCCTTCTCCTGCTCTGTCTTCCTGCCGAGAACTCCCGACTCCTGACCCGTTACACCTTGAGTCATGCGTTTGGCCCAGTTCTGTCTCGCTCGCTGGAGTGCCAGAACCACGAGGGCGGAACTTTGTCAACACCCAGGGCCCAGTACACAGCAGGTGCTCAGTCAGCACAGATGACAGAGCCACAGTGACTGTCCTTCGGCATGGGTGCCTCCCGCGGGCTCAGCTGGGAGGGACGCTGCTGTGCAGTAGGTGTGTGCACCGTCCCCTCCACCAGGTGTCACCGCGGGGGCCCCCCCAGGCACCTGCCAGCCTGTTCTCACGCCTGTCAGCTCCTGCCACTCCGTCTAGCGGTCAGACAACTCTGAACAGTCTCGATTCTGTCCCCGCACACTAGCTGCCCCAACTGCCCCGTCCACACAGCTGGAATGCTCGGCTGCGGAGCCCCGTCCGCACAGCCAGAACGCTCGGCTGCGGAGCCCCGTCCTTAGGTCGTTTTCTCTTCACGACTGTCTTGACTGTTCTCAGCCTTCTTTCTGCTGCATGAATTTTATCATCAGCTTATTTGTTTCCACAACAGCCGTATTGGGATTTTGTTTGGAATTGCACTGAATTTATAGATTCACTTGGAAGAATGTGCTTCTTTGCGATGATGAGTCTTCCCGTCCCTGAACACGGTTTATCCTTCCACTTATTTAAGTCTTCTTTAACGTCCTTCAGTACGGTCTTAGAACTTTCGGCATAAAGGTCTTGGCATCTTATTTTAGATCTAATTGGAGGTGGTTGGTAGTTGCCGTCACGTTGGCTCCAATCCCCGGCAACCCCACGTACGACAGGGCAAAACGCTGCCCGGTCCCACGCCATCTTCACAATCAGCAGCGTGTTTTAGTCCGTCGTTGCCTTCCAGCCTAGGGGGCTCGTCTTCCAGCACTGTATCAGGCAGTGTTCTGTTGTGATCCCTCGGGTTCTCATTGGCTCATTTCCAGAAGTAGATCGCCAGGCCTTTCTTCTAGTCTGTCTTAATCTGGAAGCTCTGCTGAAGCGTGTCCACCAGGGGTGACCCTGCCGGTATTTGAAATACTGGTGGCGTAGCTTCAGCATCAGAGCAACACGCACACCGCCACCCACAGCACAACAAACTGACAGGCGGGTGGTGGAATTTAAGGTGCCTTATAGTTTTTGTAATTTTAAGTGTTTTGTTTTTTTAACTGTTTGTTGCTGGCAAAGAGGAACACAGGTGGACATCTTTGTTGTATTCCTGAGAGTAAAGGAAACATGTCTAACTTTTCGCCTTTAAACACGATGTTTGCTGTAATTCTTTTGGTAGATACCCTTTATCAGTTTATAGAAATTCTCTTCTATTCCATTGGGTTAAGAATTTTTGTCTTTTGTAAATGGAAATTCCCATTCTATTCTAGCTGATTAAGTTTTCTTTTTTCTATAAATAAGACGAATTAAATGAATTTCATTGAATGTTTCACCTACATCTCATGTCATGATCACATGGCTTTGCCTTCTTAATCTATTATTGCGGTGAATTACATTATTTAGAATTTCTTATGTTAAACCATCCTTGCATCGCTGGATAAGCCCAACAATTCTCTTTAATGTTGTTAAGTTTGCTAATATTTTATCTAGAATGTTTCCTGTCTATATTCATAAATAAATTTGGCCAACAATTTTTCTTTCTTATACTACCCTTGTCTGGTTTAGATACCTAAATTTAGCCTAATAAAATTAGTTAAGGAGTGTCTTAGTTATCTAGTGCTGCTGTAACAGAAATACCACAAGTGGATGGCTTTAACAGACAGAAATTTATTCTGTCACAGTCTAGAAGACTTGAAGTCCGAATTCAGGGTACCAGTTCCAGGGGAAGGCTTTCTCTCTCCGTCAGTTCTGGGAGGATGTCCTTGTCATCAGTCTTCCCCTGGTCTAGGAGTTTCTCAGCACAGGGACCCTGGGTCCAAAGGTCACGCTGTATTCCTGGTGCTTCTTTCTTGGTGGTATGAGATCCCCCATCCTCTCTGCTCGCTTCTCTCTTCTATATCTCGAAAGAGATTGGCTCAAAATACAACCTAATCTTGTAGATTGAGTCCTGCCTCATTAACGTAACTGCCTCTAATCTTTCCTCATTGACATCATAGAGGTAGGATTTACAACATGTAGGATAATTGCATCAGATCACAAAATGGTGGACAACCACACAGTACTGGGAAACATGGCCTAGCCAAGTTGACACACATTTTTGGAGGACACAGTTCAATCCATAACGAGGCGTATGCCCTCATTTTCTGCAACAATTTGTACAAGACAAAGATTATCTGTTCTTGGCATCTGGGTAGTTTGCCTCTTAAACTCTCTGGGCTTAGTGGATTTTTGTGTGGCTAGGTTTTAATTCCTGATTGCATTTCTTTAATAATTATAGGATTATTCAGATTATCTATTTCTTCTTAAGTCAACTTTGGTAAGTTATGTTTTCCTAGAGTATCATCTGCTTCAGCTAAATTTCCACCTTTATTGCCATGAAGTTGTTCAGAGTACCCTCCTCATTTTTTTTATCTCTGCTGTCTCTGTAGATACATCCCTTATTCCTGTTAATATTTGTTTGCTTTTTCTCCTTCTTCTTGATTAGTGTTACAAGACATTTGTTAGTTTTTTTTTAGTGTTTCAGCTTCCAATTTCTGGCTTTGTTGACTCCCTTCATTATTGTGTCTTTGTTCTGTTTTGTTGATCCTTCCTTCCTTTCTTTCTTCTTCTTTAGGTCTGCTCTCTTGTTCTTTTTTTGTTCAGGGGTTGAAAAATAATAAAAGTGGCTCATGACCTTTCAGCCTTTCTTCCTTTCTAATATGAGTATTTAAAACTGTAAATTTCCCTCTCAGTACTGCATGCACCTCCATCCCTCAAGTTTTGGTAGATGATATTTTCATTAATGTTCAGTTCTGAGTGATTTTATTTCCATTCTGGTTCCTCTACCTTTGAATTCAAACTCTCTTCTTTGTATCACTAATGGTGTGGGCTATTTCTGACTTGTAGGTGATATAAGGGTTCAAAATATGCTCACCAGAGGGGCCCGCGTTTGCGCAGCGGACAGCTGACACCCCCTCAAATGACCCCTGCATAGCCAGGCTGTTTGGTTGTAGCATGAGGGTCTAACCGGCTTTCCTCTGAAGACCGCCTGGATGGAATGCAGGGTGAACGCTGGCCCTCAGCCCCTCCAGGGTAGTGAGGACTGGACGGAGAATTTTGGTTCACCAAACGCACACATGCACGCACATACATACACGCAGACACTCACATATTCACACACCCACATACACACACGCAGACACACAGACATGCACACACACATGTACACACATACATATTCACACACATGCACGCACACACATACACACGTATACACATTCACACATGCAAGCACATACATGCACGCACACACATTCACACATGCAAACACATATACGTGCACACACGTGTAGACACATATTCATACACGTACACACATATTCATACACCTACATACATGAGCACACATACACATGTACATGCACACACACACATTCACACACATATACACATACACGCACACCACATGACTCAGCACAGAAATAGTCGTCTGCACATTTATGCTGAGAAACAGTACTGCTATTTTGTGTGTTTGCTTGTTCACTGGTCTATCCCAAGCGTCTGGAAGGAACAGAGTCAGCGCTCAGTAAACATTGCAAGAATGAACACAGGTGCTGCTAGTCACCAGGAAAATATATTCTACATGTTCACTTATGTTTGTTTTCAACTAGAACATATGTTTTTTGTAGACTAAATGTTACATATAGTGGCTGCATTCCCAAGCTAGCCCACAAGAGTCTTTTAAAACCATATGTCTGTATGAATCTAAGTGCTTCTTCCTACTTTTATATCCACGATGAAAAAAATGGTTTCAATAATAGAAATTTGTAGTATTCTGTTTCAGTTACCCATCTCTTCCCTGGCCCCATCCCAGCTGCTGTGAGTAATTCTCCACCTGTCTGCAGCAGGTCAGCCCCACCCGTGCCCGCCCCGGCCCCAGTTCTGCACACTGAAGTCAAAGGGCCGGCAGGGCCGTCTGGGAAAGTAAACCTTTTGGCTTGGCGGGTGGTGCAGTCTCTGTCACAGCGGCTCAGCTGTGCCGCTGGAGCGCGAGAGTAGCCACAGACAACACAGAAATGCATGAACACAGCGTGTTCCAATAAAGCTTTAGTCGTGGACGCTGAGATTTGAATTCCGTATAATATTCTTGTCACTAAATAGCATTCTTCTATAGATTTTTTTTTCCAACCACTTAAAAATGTAAACACTGAGCTTGGCTCATGGGCTATGCAACAGCTGGCGGTGGGCTGGATCTGGCTCTGGCTGCAGTTTGCCAACAGGCCCCCCGAGCCGGCCTGCCGATCTCACCTCACTGCCCCTTCAGCCCTCAGGGACACCCTGAGAGTGAAACAGAACTCTGAGATTCGTGCCTTCATTTGACAAACATTCTGTAAGCTCCTCCAGGGAGCAGGCATCGGGAATACCACGGGGAAGAAGAGGAAGGCCTCAAACAAGTAAACACATCGCAGTAGGCTGCAAAGCTGACGTCATCCCCTCCCCAAAGAGCACGCAGTCATCCCCACTTCAGCCACAGGGACCACGGTGTGCACAGGTCCTTGGGCCCAAGAGCCAGGTGTGGTCCTTGACCCCCCTTTTCCCCCACACCCAGCCATCAACAGGTCATGGCTCCTCCCCAACCCCCTTGCACCACCCAAGCAGTAGCCTCCCAGCTCCCTGCTCCCTCCTGCCCTCCTTGCCATGGCACTGCCTGTGTCCTCACTCATTCTAAGGAAACGGAAGAAGTGACACCATGCAGCACTGCCCTCGACCATCTGAGCACCTGCCCAGTGGGCGCTGTGCATTCACACCCATGACCCTCTGTCCATTCAAACCCATGGCCCTCTGTGTGTTCACGCCTGGGGCCCTCTGCCCATTCACACCCGAGGCCCTCTGTGTTCACACCTGGGGCCCTCTGCACATTCACACCCGGGGCCCTCTGCACGTTCACACCCGGGGCCCTCTGCCCGTTCACACCCGGGGCCCTCTGCCCGTTCACACCCGGGGCCCTCTGTGTTCACACCCGGGGCCCTCTGCACATTCACACCCGGGGCCCTCTGTGTGTTCACACCCGGGGCCCTCTGCCCGTTCACACCCGGGGCCCTCTGTGTGTTCACACCCGGGGCCCTCTGCACATTCACACCCGGGGCCCTCTGTGTGTTCACACCCAGGGCCCTCTGCCCGTTCACACCCGGGGCCCTCTGTGTTCACACCTGGGGCCCTCCGCACATTCACACCCGGGGCCCTCTGTGTGTTCACACCCGGGGCCCTCTGTGTGTTCACACCTGGGGCCCTCTGTCAGGAGAAGAGCCAGAAGGCGCTGGGCCTAGGCAGGCAAGGGTGCTGGCTCCTCAGAAGGTGGAGCTGCCCCAAGAAGCGCTGGCACTGTGCGCCGTAAGGCAACCCTGGAGAAGCTGCCCAGAAGCTGTGTTGCTCGTGATCTCTGGATCTTTTAACACCGCGGGCAAGTCTCCTCCCTCCTGTGAAGGCCATGGAACGGTCAAGGCCGCGCTATTTCAACGCTGACTTGTCGAGATGGCATGCTGTGTGTCTGAGCGTGTACACGTGTCTGAGTGGGCGCCTGTCTCAGCATATGTGTGTGTGACACGCCCAAGGCCTCGGCTGCTCGGAGCAGAGGGAGGCCACCGAGCCGCGTGGAGGACGCTGTTGGAACACGAGCTCTCGTCTTGATGCATAGATGTCGGGTTTGCCCTCCGTACTGGGTTGGGAGGCCAGTCTCTAAACGGGAAGAGCACCCCAGCTGAGGGGAAGGAAAGCGGTTAGATTTTGTCTCTGTGCGTCAGCAGCCAACTCGGGGTTTTCTCCTCTGCTGCTCCTTTCTCTCCTCTTCGTCCTTCTCCAGAGGGTTAGAGCCACATCGCTGACACCTTCTGTTCTCGCAAAGTCTGACTCCTGGAGAGAACTGTTTCGTCCGTATGTCACTCAAGTCTGACAAAACTTGAGGGGAAAGTTTCCCTATGAGCCAGAGCTCGGGGAGGAAAGTTCAGAAGACAAAGTAGTTGGACTCCAAAGTCGGCCCTGCTGGTGTTCCCTCAGACAGCGCTCACGTCCCCTGGAAACAGCGGTGCTTACGGAGGTGTTTAAAATCCATAACCTGCACAGAAGCCCATTAGTGTCAGCATTCGCCTGTTTAAAGCCAATTTTGTCTTTCATTTCAACTGCAGAACAGCAATCTGTTTATCCCCTTTTACTGAATATTGCGAAGGAGGTTTTCAAAACCATGGCAACCTGGAAGATCCGTTGGTTCTCCTCTCCCCACAAACCGCTCCCCTGCCAGACCCCCGTCCCAGGCCCCTTCCCTGCTGTGTTTCCTAAAGCACGGAGGTGCTCTCACCTGCCCCCACCCCCATTACTGTCTCCCCTGCCGGAGGGAAGCCCCTCGGGAAGGGATCTTGATTTCCTCTGATCTCCGTGGATCCCGGTGCCATGGACAGTGCCTGGGACACAGTAAATGTTTGCCAAGCTCAGTCCTGGTTCTCCACATTTCCTCACGTTCCGGAATGTTCTCTGACGTCTCCCTCCCTTGTTCCTCACTCAGTCATCTGGCCTGACGTCCACCTGAGTCCCCAGATCGGTGCTGTCCAGCCCCCGCCGGCCAGGTCTCCCCACCCAGCACCCCTGGACTTCCATCCTAAGTCCCGCTCTTTGCCGACCGAGCTCATGGACCTTGGCACGGCTTCTCAAGTAGCAGCTGGCACCTTCGTGAGCACTGCATTTCCCGCGGGCCAGAGTCCATGCTGTGGCCGTTCATTCGAGGCCTCTTATGAGCTGCCCGTTTACTTCACCTCCCTGTCTGCCCAGAGTGCCCCCAGTGGCTGCTGGCCCCTGAGTGTGTGGCCTGGGCATCACTCTCTCTGCACCCGCACCCCCTGTGTCCCTTCTCCACTCATCGAGGTTCTGCCCAGCACAAGCCCAGTGCAGGACAGGCCTCCTGCGGAGCGCCCCCTACAGCAGAGTCCCCCCAACCCATCAGGGTGCGTGATGTTGGCAACCCTGACCCGACGGTCAGATCACAAAGGTGCTGTCCTCTTGGCCTGGACTGTGGCTGATTCCATTGCTGTTCCACCCACACTAACGCTGCAGACCAGGGAGTAGCGGAGTGTCTCTCCTTCTTTCCCTTCTTTCTTTTTCCAGCGTCAGGAAGTACTCCGAGAGGAGCGCTTGGCCGGCCGTACGCAGCGCCGCAGGCCCCACGTTGTGAGTGATGAGGTCTGGGGGCTGTGTAGCAGGTGGAGAGGGGCTGGCGTCTGGCTCTGCTATCGGCAGAGGAGCTGGGAAAAGCCGAGCACTGGGTCACCAGGAGACCCCTGGGCCATGTTGTTGTCAGAGACGCCACACAAGCCCTGTAGGGAAGCCTCTGCAGCCCGCTGATTTCATCTCTTCTTGTCGGAAAAGCGATGAGAGACAACGAGCAGCGTTGTTTCCAGCCCCACAAGATTATGTTTTTGTAGCAGAAATCTTGATTAAGGGCCGTCGTTAAGGGTGTGTTGTGGAGATATGGAGGAAGCTTACTGGAGAGATGACGCGAGGCACGTTGGCTGCTGTGATCTGAGAGAGACCCTATTCTTGTGAGCATTCGGGCCCTCTGCACTGGATGGGGCCACCACCCTGCAGGCGAAGCAGCCCCCATAGGTGGAGATCTCCCAGGGCCTGGGTCAGAGTATGGGGACCCTGAGGGGCCGGGGGTCATCTTCGGGGCAGCTGGTTGTTAGCTGCTGTCGAGCCCGCTCCGACTCATGGCAACCCCAGGTACAACAGAACGAGACGCCACCCAGTCACGTGCCATCTTCACAATCCCTGATGTACTTGAGTCTGTGGCTGCGGCCACCGTGTGTTTTGAGTGCCTTCCAGCCTAGGGGGCTCATCCTCCAGCACTATATTGGACAGTATTCCCTTGTGCACCGTAGGGTTGTCATTGGCTAATTTTTGGAATGAGATTGCCAGGCCTTTCTTCCTAGTCCGTTTTAGTGTGGAGACTCTGCTGAAACCTGTGCACCAGGGGTGACTCTGCTGGTGTGTGAAATACTGGTGGTGTGGCTCCCAGCATCACAGCAACCTGCAGCCACCACAGCACCCCACGCTGACAGACGGGTGGTGTCAGGGCAGCAAGACATTCTTTAAGACAAGGGGCCCAGGCCCCGGAAGGGATCACAGAGAAGAAAGTCAGGTACAGGCCTCACCGGCCCAGAGGCGGCTCCCGCGACGGGCAGGGGGCTCTTGGCCCACGTCACCGCGAGAGCACGTGGGAGCCCTGTGACAGGCCGCGCCCTCCGTCCTCTGTCTACGCGCTCCATCAGCCCTGGGGCTTCTGCTCTGAGCGCATTCTCCGGAGCCTCGTGTTCCTGGGGAGGCTGTGGCCGCTGCTCTCAGAGACACACCCTGAGACCATCCGTTATGCCCGTTCGTGACTTTTAGTCTAGATGTGATGGTAGGTTCTCCGAGCTGTGAAGAGGTCCGTGGGTGCCAGACACACAGCTCTCTCCCAGACGCTCCTCGCTTCCCATTGTCCTCGCGGGGGCCCCGGGGGCCCCAATCCACTCCCATGCCCTGGGGTCCACACACTGCGTGAGGGGGTGGGTAGCGGGGTCCGTGCTGTTGACGCCAGATTTAAAACCAGGAGAGCTGGTGTGGCAGGGCGCTGAGCGAACACCCTGGCAGGGCAGACACAAGGCAGTGAGGGTGGTAACTCAAGGGCCAGCGTTTCATTTGTCACTAGTAACGGGTGTCATTCGACATGGCCAACAAGACGACAGAATCGGAGCTCCCTGCTTTATCTCCCCTGGGCCACGAGCAGGGCTGGAGCACAAGGAAGCCAGCAACAGGAAGAAGAGGAGACATGAAAACCCCACAGTAACTATGGCGGCACAGAGCACCTCCGCGCCCAGCGGGGCCGGCCCTTCCCTGGCCTGCCACCGCCGTCCTGGGCTGCCACCCCGCAAGGGGCAGCACGTCACCCTGCTTTTTGGATGAGGTTCAGAGAACTGGCTTCAGGTCTCTCGGCCTGTACAGAGGGGCATGGCCCTCGTGCGCCACCCCTCACCCCT